ATATTGTTGTATTGTTGTTGCAGGTAAGAGGGAAACAGGAAAAATGAGCAGATATTAGAATAAAAATTGATAAACAAATTTCCTAAATTAAAACAAATAAGAAGATTTGATAAAGGGATTAATAATTGTAAAGAACAGAAAAAAAATGTTTGCCTGCAAGAATTTCTTTTCTGCTTTTAATTTTAAAAACAAAAGGAGGAAGATTAAGTAAAATGCAACTCACACAATGCAAAATCAATTCAAAGAGAACTTTATCACGTCAGTTTAATATGAAAAGTTCACACAATGGTCAGTGATCTTCTGTCTTGTGGTTAAGAGTAGAAAAAACACAGTGTCTGTAGTTATGTTTGAGAGCTCTCACCTTTTGGTGAGTATAGAATGGAGGTCAAACAAAGGTTCTTTCAACTTGTGTTGATCAAATCAGAGATGTTTTCTTATTTTAAATCATCTAACCCAGTTCCAGGAAAACTTTTTTTTTGAAGTGGTCTAGACTGGCACTGTTTTTTGAACATACAGAACAAGACAACCTCAAAGTAAAACTATATATATATATATATATATATATATATATATATATATATATATATCATTTTACTCTAAGCAAGGCAATAAACACACTAAGACACAAAGCATTACTGAATAAAGAATAAGAAAATGAAAAGCATTATTATAAAGTGATAATAATAAAAGAAGAGGAATCAAGAAAACCATTGATGTTGACATTGCATTTAGATTTTTGAAGATCAAAGTTGGCTGAAAATAGATCAGGGAGAGTGTCACACAAGCAAGAGGTGGGTTAGAAGAAAATGTTTGCATTGAACTTACGCTTACATCTACCCATTTCAACTGTAAAATGATGAGAACTTCCTGCCAATCTAGTGCCATGCTTAAAGTCATAAAATCTAGGTATCATAAAGGAAAGTTTATCAGAACAATTATCATGAAAATATTTATAGGAAAGGCACAGGAAGCTGCAATACAGAAGTGGGAAAGTGACTGAAACCAAGTTGTTCAGATTAGGACCAATGTAGATTCTTCTTTGAATTTTATCAAGAATCTCTAAATGTATAGCAGGAGCACCAGACCAGATGTGGCAGAATAATCAATGCATGCATGAATGGTAGACTTATGCAAGATAGATTCTGATGAGAAAAATTGTTTAACATGACACAGTGAACCAATTTTCCTATCAGCAGTTGATTAAATATAATCTTTCCACTTCATGTCAGTCAAAGATGTTAGCCCAAGAAGGCCCAATGAGTCAATCAAACTAGTTATATTCCATCAACACCTATCAGAACCTGAACTACTGCCAGTCTTAATGAATAGATGTCTCCTCAGAGATCACCATGTCTTGAGAGACTATTAGGCCTGAAACTGACATCTAACATCAAATGGGACTCATATATATGATCCATCAAAAAAGAAGCAGGAAAAATGGTCACTAAGTACCACTCTAGTAAGTATCTGACTCTGCATTTACAAAAGCCAGATCAAGCCGAGAATGGAGTACTGTTGTCATATTCGGACAAGAGCTGCCTAGGCCTCACTCTCCAGTCTTAATAGAGATTAAAAGGCTCTCAAAGTCTTTTTATTAGGTAGGATATGGCAAGCCTCTCATTGTTCTGTCGCTACTTCCATAGAAAGTGCTTGGATGAACTACATTTCTTGGTTCCACCGGGTCTAACCTTCATAGCTAGGACCTGCCAAGTCACTTATATTGTAGCAAACCACCCACATTCCCTCTGTATTGCATCGGCAAGAAATAAGTTCCACTTGAACAGTTTATTCCCACAAACCACTGCACTGTGGAATAGACTCCCAAAAAGATGTTTTCCTGATCACTACAATCTTAACCAGTTCAACTCTAAGGGTAACTATTATCTTCCCCTCCTCTCTATATAAACTACCCCTTAACATAATCCTCTACCTCGAATGGCCCTCTGGCCCTTATCCAGGGTGAACCTTATTGTTAAAAAAAAATACGTAAAGTATTAACAGTTGATATGCAAACTCAACTATTTCTAAATAAATAAATTTTCAACACTTATTTATTCATGAAATATCAATTTTACAGTAGGTATTTACTTAAAAAATACAATTTTTTATACTAATGCTCGCCCAATGCAAGGCTCAAGAGCCACTCAAAGTAGAGAGTTACTGTGTCATGTTGTATGGGCATAAGAAAAAGCAAGAAGGAAGTACAGTACAGGGTTATGAACAAGATATTTAAGGTCAAGATTGTAGTGATTGGGAAAACATCCTGCTAGGAGTTCGCTCCACAAAACAGCAGTTCTTGGAAGAAGATGTCCAAACAGAACTTACTTCTCACTAATGGATTACAAAGGGAATAAGGATGATTTATCTTTATGTACATAGCATAACAGATACGGATTTCAAAAGTCAAGCTCAGTAGCTCATCAGAACATATGCCATGGAAATAGTTATATAGTACCGAAAGTCTTGCAACATTCTGTCAGTGGACTTATTTACTAAATTTGCATAATTTGTAAGAAAGATTTGTGGAAATATTTTTTTTAAATCAGTCAATCACCAACTTTCTTGAATTTTATGAAATCCCATTTAAATGTTAAAAACACTTGGGGGCGAGGAAAAACTTTCACTCAAATTAAGTTTTAAGTGATTTATTTTTAAATAAACTTCATTGATACATAAATGTTTTTGTTTAGTAATTTAAAATTATTTACTCATAATTTTTTCCCTTGCTCACTTTTGAAACATTCTTTATAAATATTGTATTTTAATAACAAAATAATGTAATGTCTGTTCGTAAATATTGATCAGGTTTATTACTAAGTATATAGAAAGCATTTTATGGTTTATACTTGACTTTATAGGTAAACATTGATAAAGTTTACACTTGAAGCTATTGTTAATCATTGATCTAGTTTATTACAAATTATATAGATAAGTAACATTATCTTTATACTTTAGTCTATTAATGAACATTATTTGAGTTTACACTTGAGTTTGATAAGCATTGTTTAGATCTACACTTGGCTGAATTTATACTTGTGTCTATGGGTAAACATTCCTTAGATTTATTTGGATTCTCATAGGTAAACTTTGGCCAAGTTTATGCTTAAGTCTGTAGGTAAACATTTTTGGGATTTACAATTGTCTGTAAGTAAACATTAGTCAGGTTTATACTTGAATTTATAGGTAAATATTTGTCATTGTCATTGTCTATGGATAAATATTGTTTGAGTTTATACTTGTGTCTGTTGTTAAACATTGATCAAATTTGTACTTGAGTTTGTATGTAAACATTGGTCAGCTTTATTAATAAGCATATAGCTAATCGTTGTCTGGGTTAATACTTGGGTCTTTCTTTGAATCTTGTGGACTGGCACTACAGAATTGCAAACAAAATACTATACTAGACATATCACTTGAGAACTTTCAACAGCAGCAACAACTAAAATGGATCACATATGTAACTCGAAGAGAGAATAATGATATAATCAAGATGTTGACATTCTACATACACTACCACAAACAAAAGGCAAGGAAGGAAACCCCCACGATACTGGAGAAAGCAATAACAGTGAGAAACCAATTTTCCTTCAAAATATTTTAAGAGAAAGACTTTATTTCAACCAACAATAGTACTGGCTGCTCTGTCAATAAATGCAAAATGTTTCCTTATAAGAAAACAGGTAATATTACTATTACCATTAACATGGGTATTTGGTCAGATTCACACTTGAATTTGAGGAAAATATTGTGTGGGTTTATTTTAAAGTTTTCTGTGTTTTTTTAATCAACTCACCCATAGCAAGGTCATAATGCCACTAAAATGCAGGGGTCTACTGAGAGTGAAAGAGAATTAAAAGTCTTTAGTAGGAACCAGAAACCCAATCTTAAACTTGAAATAAAGGATAACCCCCTACTCCTGTTCAAAAGACTGGGGAGGATTCTGAACTGGATTGTTGGCAAACTTATCTACTCCTATTGAGGAAAAAATAAATAGTAAATAACATTTAGGTGGGAACATTAGAAGTATAGAGTTAAAGTGGACTTTAGGAGGATCCAAAAACCGAATCCTAAACAAGACACAAGAAATAAACCTTTACTCCTATTCAAAGGACTGGGGAGGAGTATAAACCAGACAATAGGTGAACTTATCTATTCTTATTGAATTACATAGGTAAATATTAGGAGGTGACCCTTTTTCAGGAGTGGTCTTACTCCACTGCAAATGATTAGACCCTGTTGACAAGGTAGTTTATTAGAATGTGCTAATTTTGTTTCTTATGTATGGGCATTAAGTCATCAGCCTATAAAAACATCCAAAAGTTTATTTTTTAATAATATATTTATAGCAGGTCAACATTTTATCACAACATGTGCCTGGGATAACAGTCACTGTATGCCATTGAGACTGACTTTCTTTATGGTTCCAGATATGCAGGAAAGAATATTTTCAACTTTTACAGGAAAAAATCAAGAAAAACATAAACAAATTTAGAAAAGTTGGCAGGTTGGTAAACTGGGTGGTAGTTAAAGTAATTATAATTATCTATAGTTTGGGAATGTAAATATTTTTAACCATCTATATATAGCCTCTGAAATTTAATATCAATGATAGAAGAATGATTTTTAGATTAGAAAATTCAATCTGTCCTGAAATGATTTCTTTTTATTTATAGAAAACCAGAATTGTTAACAAGCTTTTCTCTTGGTCAATAGGATGCCAGTAAGTTCTGCCCTTTGGTGAAATTATGGCAGAAAATAGAATGATAAAGTTTTTATTCAAACAAAGTATTTGATGAATATTAGAAAGTACAACAAAACAGGAAATGTCTCATCTCAGAAGGTGGAATTATTGATGGAAGATTTCATTGAAAAATTCTTTTCTTCTTCAGTGTCAGTGTGATTATGGCAATAAATTAGCACTGATTGTTCTCTTTACTAATATCCTGAAAAAAAAAAGGAATAGACGGTCTTCCATTTATTTTTCTTTCTTCATCTCTTAGATGCCACTTCTCCCTCACTTTTCTAAATTGCTTTTTCCTTTTTTTCTTCTCTTTCTTTTACTCAATTGTTTTATCTTACATCACACGTCTTACTCAAGTTTTTCTTTTCCATTTTTTCATTCATTGTTTCTTCTTTTCTTTTACTTTTCCACTCTTTCATTCACTTTTTATCCTGCTTTTTCTTTTACATTCTTTCATTCCCTGTTTCTTTTTTTTTTTTTTTCTTTTTTTTAGCATTTCACCCCAAGCAAGGCGAGAAGCCACTAGGACGCAAGGGGTTACAGAAAATTTAGAGCAAGATCATATAGGAGTGATAGAAGAAAGGATGAGAAGGGTTAGTGGATAGATCAAGGCAACTGGAGATGTTGATTGACATTACATTTGAATAGCTGGAGATTATAGCTATCAGGGAAACTGGAATAGGGAAGGGAGTTCCACAGGCGAGTGGTGTGAGAAATGAAGCTATTGGAGTAGAAGAGACGGCTACATTTAGTAGTTTCGACAGTGAAGGGGTGAAAGTGGGATGCCAGCCTTGTAGGGCGCTTGAACTCATGAAGTCTGGGAAGCAGCGAATGCAGCTCCTCAGAGCAATTGCCATGAAAGTATTTGTAGAACAGACAGAGAGAGGCAATGACGTGTCTGTGAGAAAGTGACTGTAGACGAGATGCTTAGCTTTTTTTTTCTCTTCAATGCTCTTAAACACTGTTTCTTCTTCCTTACTTCCTCTATTTTATCTTTTACATCTCACTTTTCATTTAATTTCTTCTTCTTTTAAATCTCCATGTTTTTTATCATTCCCCCTCATCTTATATCTTTTTCATTTGATCCAGCTTTTTACCTCTTTTTCATTTTTTCATTCATTTTTCCTGCTTCTTTTTTTTACATTTCTACCTTTCATTTACTTTTTCTTCTAATTTTTTTTCATTCTTTTTCTTCATTCACCATAGTAATAAAAATGAACACATCCCATTTCCCCTCTCGCCTGTAACCTTCCATCACAATAAAATAAATGTTTTTCGGCACAAGAGTGGAATGAGTCAAATAAAGCTTCTACTTAGAGTTGTTACTCTATTACATTCACTTATTCCTTTCATTTACTCATTTCATTCACTTATTTTTTTTCATTCCCATTCTCTTATTTGCTGTTTCTTCTTCTTCTTCTTTTTCTTCTTCTTCTTCTTCTTCTATATTTTTTCTTTTCTGCTCTCATTCACTATTACTTGTCTCCTCTATTTTTCCTTTTAGATATTACTTTTTCATTCTCCCTCTTCTTCTTTTCACCTTTTGCTTTTCTATCATTCCCCTTTCATCTTCATGTGTCGATCATAGTTGAGATCATGGAGCCCACAACACTACACCAGACCTCCTGGTCTTTCATATCTGTCCCCAAGTCCTGCCTACCAATGCCTGCATCACTTGAGATGACATCAGGGAATGATAGCTTTCTGCCTCTGGTCAGGTTTGACACAGGCTTCGAGAGTAGGAGACAACCTCATTCTCAGCATGGTGTCCCAGTTAGGACTTATAATATTGCTGATTCTTCTTTGGATTTTATCAAAAATCTCTAAATAAATAGCAGGAGCACTGTTCTGTATGCAGCTATCATCAGTCCCTAAGTGTTTGTTTGTAATCAGACACTTATGGGCTGATGATAGCTATGTACAGAACAGCTTGAAATAGATTATCTTCTATATTGAGGTAATCTTTGTTCTTTTTACTGCAATATATATATATATATATATATATAGTATTAAATAATAGTTTAGCAGACTATTATTTTGGGGAGTAATGGTCTGCTCAGACTTCCTGAGGACAGACAGAAGAAAAATAAGGAAGTCTATTTTGATTGGCTGAGTCAGTGTAGTGTGAGAATGATAGACAGAGAAAGGTTTTTCAGTGAGTCAAGTCTTAACCGTCAAACAATGTAGACTTGTTTACTTTCATGTCTGAAATGGCCCCCCAGTGAGTGGGAATGACCCCCACTTGATAGACAGAACATGTCAATATGAATGTTAATAAAAAAGTTAAGTTAAAATTCCCTGTACTGAGGTTCTTTTATCTCTGGACTCAAAACAACTAGTGATCACCAGGTGTAAGGGAAGAATGCAACATTATTATTGAATTGACAATATCACCCAAAACCTCCAAGAATGTGGAGGCTATACAACATACGAGTAAATTGGCACTGTTGACCAAGACCTCCCCAGCACATGGAGGCTATGCAATGATAGGGATAATATTTATATATATATATATATAGAGAGAGAGAGAGAGAGAGAGAAAGAGAGAGAGAGAGAGAGGGTGAAGCAGAAATCAATAATAATATATATAAGAGTATATATAAGAGATAGAAATTATTAGGTGAATTTGAGATAATCAGGATTAAGTAATTCATCAAGTCTAGAAGAAACCTCAACAGAATGCAGAAAGCACTAGACAGCCATTTTGTCCTATATTTGGGACTCATCAGCAGTGCGCATCCACTACAAAGAATTGAAACACGGACAGTTACGTTATCAGGCAAACATCACACCAACTGTACCAACTGTACCAACAGGCCTCAGTGATGAAGAGGTAGCAAATTAGACTCAATGTAATGCTGCTTGATTGCATATTTACTTAACAGCTGTTATATTAGATCGAGCACTATTTTATTAACAGCAGCACTTAATGTGTGATATCTTATATATATATATATATATATATATCACATCATATATATATATATATATATATATATATATATATATATATATATATATAATGTCAGTTGACATGTTCATATGCCTTAATCTAATTCCCTGTCCTTCTTAATCCTTTCCTCTATCATGTCTCTTTACTCTTGCTCCCACTCTCTGTAACCCCTTGTGTGCTAGTGACACTCCCACCTTGCTTGTGGTGAAATGCTTAAAATATATATATATATATATATATATATATACATATATATGAAGAGAGAGAGAGAGAGATGTAAAGAGAAATAATTTATTTAAACAAGTCATGTTAAATACAGCCCACAAGGTTTTTGTTCTTAATTTTTTTATGTATTTTCCATGGTCTCAATTAAGTTGTTGATAACCTGTCTGAAATTTATGTTTTGGTACTTTCAACTTCCATCTTAGTCATTTTCAACAGTTAAATATTGTCAGTATTGCAATCATGTTATTTAAAATAACCAATTCAGTTGGTGAGGATATTCACTTTTGTAATTAAGAAGACCAGACTATTTGCTTTTAGGTCATTTCATACAGTGAAGTAGTGTAATTGTCAGTATTAGTGTCTATGCCTGCAAATGAATTAAAGCAAGTACGCAAAAAATGGAAATGGGTGTAAGGTAAGGGTGTATCTTTCTACCAGATTTATTTAACCTTTATAGCATAACTATTCTCAAAGAACTAAAAGTCCCTCCAAGATTTACTATTGCCAGACAGAATCTTAACAACATAAGATATGCCAATGGCACAGTGTTGATAACAGACTCAGAAAGGAAACTGCAAGAAATCTTAGTCAAGATCATAAAGGAAAGTGGGTCAAAAGGACTAACCATCAATTGGATAAAGAGAGAATCTATAGCTGTTAGCAAAAGGGACAACCTAAGATGTGAACTGCAAATTAGGGATGTCAAAATCAAGCAAGTACAGAAATTTAATGATCTGAGAAGTGTTTTAACGGTTGATGGAAAAGGTGACAAATAGATCAAATAGTCCACTGGAATAATGAAAGATACCACCCAAAAGATAAACACAGTATTAAGAAACAAAAAATATTAGATACTAAAAAAGAGTACTTAACTCTTATGTAATATTGGTCCTCCTATATGGCAGTGAATGCTTATTGGTCTTCCTATATGGCAGTGAATGCTGGAAAATCTCCTCACAGATGAAGAAGAGACTTGAAGCAACTGAAATGGGGCTCTACAGAAGGATGATGAGAATACTATGGATTGAGCATGTGAGCAGTGACAAAGTCTTAGAGAGAATAGAAACAAAGAGGACACTTTTACTTGACAGCAGAAAAGAAGTTTTAAGGAAAATGCAGACAAAAAAGGATACTTGTATTTAGAATCAGAAAGAGAAAGATTTCTAGGTCACATAATGTGGAGAAAGAGTTTGAAGAATTTGACAATCATAGGATATACATAATGTTAAGAGGAGCAGAGGGAAACAAAAAACTTATGGAAATGGATGGCAGAAAACAGACTAGAGGTGGAGTAAGAAAATAAACACTGACTAGAGCTACAAAAGATAAGAAGTTGTGGAGAACCATGCCCACTCACATCCTGAAAGAAATCTCAAGGAAAAGGTTATAAACATAACCATAGAGCAGAGTTTTCCTCAAAGATTATTTCAAGTTATATTTTATTTCATCTATGTTATTTTATTTTGTGTGTATAATGTATGACAGCATATGTATATATATATATATATATATATATATATATATATATATATATATACTACAGTTAAAAAGTTTGAAGAGTGAAAAAATTTTTTAAAAAGTGCTCTTTGAGTCATTGAAAAAAGAATGGAATCAATAATCAAACTTATACTTTGAGAAACTTTTGCAATGAATGACGAAAATTTCTGCTGCAGTAACCAACGCTAAAGGAAAATATTTTGATGAGAGCAAAATTTAATCTTAAAATACTCTTTTTCTTTTTGTCATAATAACATTTCTAACAGAAAAACATGTCTCATTTTTTTAACCATGTGTAATGTTTCTTTTTTCTTATTTAAAATATAGATCAACTACTTTTTGGAGTAATTTAAAAAATTACCTGGTGTGGCCTCAAACTTTTGAACTGTAGTATATATATATATATATATATATATATATGTGTGTGTGTGTGTGTGTGTATTTGTTAACAGACAAGACATATATCTTCATCAGTTTTAATCAATTTTTCTTGTTGATAGTTCATTTTTGTATATTAGTTTTTACAAAATTTTGCACTTTAGGAATTTTAGAAAATTCCAGCCTAAATTAATTCTATTTAAATAAATTTAAATATTTAATACATTCTATTTAAATGAGACAAAGTCTTTAATCTTCTCTGAAACTTTGAGCAAAATGATATTGAAGACAAAAACAAAAAATGAACATAAATGTTCAATGCTAAAAGTTTCTTCTCTCGCACTTCTCACTTGTGGAACTCTCTTCCAGTTTCTTGTTTCCCAGTCAACATTGATCTTCATTAATTTAAGTGCAACATCAATTGTTATCTTCTGTCTTCTTAATTCCTGTTCTTTTATTGTTCTCACTCTGTATTTTTTCTTTTTCTCATATTCTTTCACACTCAATAGCCTTTTGTGTCTTAGTGGCTTCATTGCCTTGCTTGAGGTGAAATAAATAAAAAAATATCAAATTCACTTATATGACAAATTGATGCAAAAAGTGATTTTTGCATGTTAAAAATGAATTTAAATTCATAAGCTTTTCAGTCAAGAATGATATGCATTGGTATAAAATGATAACAAAATGTAAATGTTTATATTTACTTGTATTTGTGGGGCACGAGGTGAGGATCAAATTCAGCCTAGTACTTGAAAAAAGCTAGCTTGCTTAACTTAAAGTATGTATTTTTAATCAACTTTTCTTGTTGGTGGATTAGTTTCTTGGTCTTGGTGTTACAACAGAACTGTCCTCAGTCCATGTTTGTTTTTGTTCAGCTTCCAGTCTTTCAACTGACACCAGTTATTATCAAGAATAAAAGAAAATCAAATTAAATTAAAATCTGCTTATATGATTGTTTGCAATTTTGTGACAATTTTAAATTTTTTTGAGTATTTGCAATGTATTGTGAACAGTTTTTGTGGACATGACTGAATGTGAATGCTAATTTTTTTGATTCTATATCATTTGTTGCTATGTAGCACTTTGGTTGGAATTATAACCCAGTGTTCTCAGCATGATATTGTTCAAAGCATCATACTGCATCTCCTCCAAGCTTGTTCAATCACTTTATTTTCATCAGCCTTCTGTAGAACCACATTTCTCTTTTCTCAAGTTTTTTCTTCATCTGTGAGGATTGTTCAATATTCACTGGCATATATGTGGACAGATATCATGTAACAGTTCAGTACTCTTGTTAAATAATTATCTCCCCCAAAATTCTTACAATCTAAAAATATTTTCTGGCTTTAAATAACCTGTAAAAGGTTGATAAGCTATAAAAAACAAATCAATCAATCTTAGGAATTTAGTTTCTCACTAGGTGAACTTTTGGGTCGTCGTGTTTGACGATCTACTTTGAATATTTGCTGCTGAGTGATAATAAACAAGCTGGTGTTAGAAACATGCTTGTGAATTTGTCTTCTTTTGTGGCCTTGTGCT